GGATTGATTCAGGAGAAATGGTTGGCCAGGCCATTCTCATCGTCGATCTGATCTCAACATAGATATCGTTCCTGTCCTCAGGTCTAAACCTTAAACACAATCCCATACAGTCCACAAAATAACCATAAGATCCACTCCTAATCAATCCGTCGCTCTACATATCCTCAACAACTATATAGTCACAAAACAATAAGCTAAAAGCAACATGACAATCATTCTTCGATCACCCAATTATAACAAGTCAAAAATAACACAACTCCAGATGTTGCAATTATCGATCAGCATCAAAGTTTCCTAATCTCCTCATAACATCCAAACCAGATAAACAACTCTATGACATCATTCAGTTCAATTCTTACTCCTTCAAAACACATGATACGATCATCTCATGTTTGAAACCTCAAACCAAGGTTAATCACTCCTACAGTTCTTTAACGGAATTCCACAATCACGCTCTAGTTGCAAAACATTCAAACAATACCGACATTTGTCCTCAAGACACTACTAAAATCAATCACTTCTAAAAACATCCAAATACATGAGTCTAATACATCACCTAATTATCCTAAAACAACAATTCACAACACATTTCTTAGTTGTTACCGCTGGTACCAATCATCAGAAATATAATCCCCATTTGACAACCTGTGCCTCACATCCTATCGGTCAAAACCATTCTCAAAACAAACACCACAAAACTAAAGGCTATACCTACCTCCGTGAAAGTAAGTCGACCCCTTCAATCAGAACCTCAATCGACCAACTTTAACAGCGTAACACCCACTCACAAACCCGTCCATCCACGGAAGCGCACATCCCCTAGACAGAGACAAGACCCACAGCAAACGACGTCTTTGCCAAGACTAGAACAAACAGAAAGGTAATAAACCCCACTCTCAAAAGAGACCAATAACTCGCACCCTACTGAACCAGACACTCTATTACATGCTACTCACCAGTCGTCCAACCATGGACACCCAATCTAAACGACATCTCCCATTATCGGACCGTCCTACACAATCAACACCAAAAACCTCGCACACACTTCTCTGCAACACTTTGCTAGCCAGAACCAATCAAATAAAAACACCAACGACTTTAACAAACTAACACTAGGAACCATCACTGTACGTTGGACACTGCGTCCCGTCTCATCCAGAAATCGTTACTCCAATTGACAACCTTAAAATCGAAAAATGATACTTTACCATTCATTCTACTTTCACTTTTCAAAACGACATTACCTCAAACACCCTACACATAAGACCCGTGACCTCAGTCACAACAGTCCACTGACTCATCAAGAGAAAAAGATGCCTATAGGGCAACACCTATCTATCTGGTTCTAAAAAATTAGGTCGTCCACAATCACCATAACTGGCACACAAACCCATCACATACCTATTAACATATAACAACACTCAAAACTTTCAACCTACATTCGAATCACATTTGAAACCATTATACTTATCAATGCCAAACTTCATATCATAACATCTTCACTGCCATTCATTTAAGTCAACGGTTCAAGCCTATGACCCCATCAAACCATCAAGTCACTAGTAAAAGATTTTTCCTCGAACATCCTTAAGATAACATCATCATAAACAAAGAATGAGCATAACGTTCACTGCTCCCTATAACAACCACTATCTACCACTAGAGAAGGACATCCACACTGCAATGCCATGCCAACAAATCCTCAAATAAAAATGAACATAAAAAAAAAAAAAAAAAAATCCAAATGCTCAACACCCAATTGCCTCCTTAAGTCCACCAACGATGCAATCAATCACTATTGTCTTCCTGAATACTATGGTCACCCCTAAACTGACTTACTCCTCTATACATGAACCTCAAGTACTAATACCTCTATGATCATTCTTCCCAAAACAACTGCACAAACTCTAATCCCCTGGAAACAACAAGCCTTTACTAACCAATCACTCATTCAAAAGTGACGCTAACTCAACATGAAAACTCACGTCACTCACGATACCCGTTACCATAGTCAACGACCTGCTACAAGAAAAAGGAATCATACGTGGCACACTACAGAAACAGTTCTTAAGAGGAAAATAAACACTACGCTAAATGGTCAATCACAAAAACTGAAGTAGACGACAACTATAAAACAATGGTCTCTAATTGGTATCTAGTTGGACACTCAAGTCACACCTACACTGACCTATCCAACCAAACAAAAGGGTATACTACTCTTACACCCCCAACACTATCATTACCCAGCCAATTGGTACCATTACCATCCAACACAATGGAATGTCCACATCGATTTCATCTGAGTTGTGTGCCCGCAGCTCGCTCAGTGTGGTAGCCTTCTGGTGCCACCTAGACACGCTCACACACACCCGCCCACAAGGCCACAAAATAAATAAATCAAATAGAACAAGCCACCAAGCCCGAGAGGTCACTCCTCATCCTGGCTCAACCCAATCTGTGACCAACACTCTATGGTCACCAAACAACATCATACTGAACTCCTGTCTTCCTCACTGGAAGTCAAAACAAAAGATACAACCTACTCATCTCGTCGCCAACCCAAGGTCAACCACAATTCATACTCTCAAAATGACAATCTAAAGAACAAACTCTCAACCTTAAACATCAGTGAACTTCTAAATAAGAATCCAAATACTGACCCGTACAACACTTGAATCTCACAAGTCACACTCTGTAACCCACCTCACGTACTATGACATCCAAGCAACTTTGCTTACACGGAAGGACCCCAATCATAGGTGATAACTTACCGAATTAATACAACATAGAAGTGCGCATGCTAAACAATTACCTACTGAAAATATAACACCTACTCATGGATCATTTAAGTTAGTGCTACACACATATAACATATAAGCATATGACCGCTCAAGCAAATTTACACGTAGGCAATTAAATAGATAAGCAAATAAACAAGTAGGCATGTTGCTCCAACATTTAAACACGTTAATATGTAGCACATAAGCAAGTAAATGATTTAGCATGCTTCCTCAAATATCTAAACACATAACAAATAATCTCATACACAATGCAAACAACTTCTCACGCAATCCTGCATAGGCCTCTACCCATCGTCCTAAGGTTTTCGAACCATCGCTCTGATACCATTCTGTAACGACCCGAACCCAAAGGCCCGAACCGTTAGCCGGGTCCTAGCTCGAACCCGAGATTACCTAGGTCCATCACGACATTTCAATAGTCAACACACCATTACAACGCTTGAATAACAATTTCAGTACATCCCATCACCCAATCCGTCATTTAATCAAACAAACGCTGGAGAAAGAAGGAAGAATGATCAAGCTGCTTCATTTCGGTCGACCGAAGTGGAGCTTCAGTCATCCAAAATGACGATCCCGAGAGCAACCAAAGAGGAGAAGAAGACCTGACCAAAAAAAAAAAAAAAAGCTTCATTTCGGTCGACCGAAGTGAAGCTTCGGTCGTCCGAAATGAGGATACCGAGAGCAAGAAAATGCTTCGGTCGACCAAACCCCATTTCGGTAGACCAAAGTGGAGATCTTGAGAGCAATCAATCTGTTTTGGTCGACCGATGCACCATTTCAGTTAACCGAAATGGCTATGCTGAGCCTGAATCCAGAAGTCAACCTGTTGAACTATGAAAATGGAAGGAAAACCGGAAATGAAACTTATCAATGGTTTAAACTCGAAATGGATCCTTAACCCAAAGTTATTCTACGATCAAAGACGAGGGAACCAACCCGCAATCACATTAAAACATTCTTTGAGAATCAAATCCATGAATTTAATACATAGGCTTTACATCATGATCATTATACATCAAAAATGAAATCTAGATTCAGGTTTCATCATTTACATGCCAAAATAAACTTGATACATTTCAGAACTTGTACTTTACTTGATATATTCAAGTTCTACAAAAAAAATACATCCAATAGATTCACCAAGTTCCTTCAATTCAGTGGTGGATTTTCATCCGCCGTTTCTTTGCCGTGACCTGAAAAATATAATAATACAAGGGGGTAAGCAATTTGCTCAGTAGGTGACACCTAAGACGCATCTCATGAGACCCCGTGAATCCAAAACAAAGAATAGGTCAATATGAGTTGGGGTCATACCACATAGGGGAGAATACAACATGGTTATCCTTCTCAACATAAATAATAAGATGCAATGGAGATGCAATGCATGACGACGTTGCTCCCCATTTTTCACAATCAGAATCATCACTTTCAAACTGTCAATGTAACCCCCTTTGGTGACTCCGCAGCGCCGAGAGAAGGATTGGCTACTGTCCCTGACCTTTGGTGACTCTGCAGCATCATTATGGGGCCCAGATAGCTCAACCACGCTGGGACAATCTCCCTAGTTCCCTCTAGGTTACATTAACCTACCGGCCCCTTGGTGACTCTGCAACGACCGGGTTTTCCAAAACTCTTTCATCAAAATGTTCTTTTCCAAAACTCCCCATTTTCATTTCAAAAACAATTTCTTCCCTTCATGCAACCCAATGGTGTACATGCATGTCTCATGATCTCAATACTATGAAAATGAGGAATTTGACACAACACAAGTAAGCATGTTCTCATACTTTTAATATTTAAACAATAACGGATTATCACTAAATACAATAGGGCATGCTTTCACACACCATTCATAGCATGTGAACAATACAATAGGCATAAAACTCATCATATAAGCATGCTTCTCATACAACACAATCAAAACAAGTCTTCACATATTCACATATATACAATCAAAACATTTTAAGCTACAATTAACACCTATAAGCATGCTATAACACAATTCAAGTAGAATAACTCACAAAGGTGCATGAATAATGTGAATTAGGAAGCCCATACCTCAAAATGAGCAAAACCCTTGAAATGGGTTAAGGAATTTCAAAAATCAAAGAGGGCACCAAAGCTGGAATTGCTGGTATGGATGTGTAGAACTCCTCATGGGCTTCGTTTTGCCTCAAACGGCACCTCAATCCGATAAGAAATGAGGAAGAAATCAAGTCTCAAAGATTGAAGGAAAAGAAAAATATAACAAGAGAGTGAGAAAGAGAGAGAGAACCAGCGGGGAGAGAGAAAATGAGCTCAAAAAAATGGTCTCTGGACCATAAAATGGGTAGTGGTGGGTCCCACCACTATCCTTTGACTCTTCCTTTTCTTTTTGTTTTAAATTTTACACCACAATTAGACATAGTTCACCACAATTATTTATGACATAGCTCACATGAAAATAGATGCACCAAAAGCAATTTGACTCAACTAAAATTCCGCGTACAAAAGTGAAATGACCAAAATACCCTTGCATCAAAGAAATTTCGGGAAAAATGAAAAATGCCGAAAATTGGAAACGTTACACCTACTTTAGTTTAAATTGCATCTTAGTATAATTCAACCACCAACCAATCTTTTGATCACTCGACATACTAACCCTAATCTCGATTCCACAACTTAATATGACCCACCAATCCCTTGGGACGATCCCTACTTGCCCTAACTATATTTTTAGTGAAAGGTAGTAGTGGCAATTTCTAAATGTAAAACTTGGCCGCACTCATCTTAGTTCAACATCTCTTTTGTAAACTTTTGGTGCATAGGTACGGCACACACCAATAGGTAAGACAACCATTGCTAAGACTCTCTATAACCTTAATTTTAGCAAATTTGAAGGTAGTTGCTTTCTCGCAAATATCAGAGAAATATCATAACAACCCAATGGATTGGTTTGTTTACAAAAACTACTTCTTTCAGATATTCTAAAGAGGCTAAAAGGAAAAAATTAGGTGTGTTAATGAAGGACTTATTAGGATAAGAGATGCAATTTGATGGAAACGAGTTCTGCTTGTGCTTGATGATGTAGATCAATTAGACTAATTAAATGCAGTACTCGTAATGCGAGATTGGTTTTATCCTGGTAGTAAAATCATCATAACAACTAGACATGAGAGATTATTGAAGGCTCATGAAATGTATAAGATGCATAAGGTTGAGGAATTAAATAAGGACAAATCATTTCAGCTCTTTAGTTGGCATGCCTTTGGACAAGACCGCCCCACTGAAGGTTACGTGGAGTACATAAAAGAGGTTGTGAAGTATTGTGGAGGACTTCCTTTAGCTCTTCAAATTATGGGTTCTTCTTTATCGGAGAGAAGTTTAGAGGTGTGGGAAAGTGCATTAAAGAAATTGGAAACAATTCCAAACAGTCAAATCCTAAAAAAGCTCAAAATAAGCTTTGATTCTTTACAAGATGACCACGACAATAATTTATTCCTCGACATTTCTTGTCTCTTTGTTAGAAAGGATAGAGATTTCATAATTGCAATACTAGATGAATGTGGTTTTTACACAAAGGTTGGGATTCAGAATGTCATCGATAGATGTCTCTTAACAATCAATGAAAATAACAAGTTGACAATGCATCAGTTGATTCGAGAGATGGGAAGAGAGATTATACGTCAAGAATCACCCAAGGAACCTAGGAAGCACAGCTGAGTGTGGCATCATGAGGATGCCTTAAATGTATTACATGAAAAAACTGTAAGAAATTTGCCTCCAACATCTATTTTCATGTATTTTTTGGTCTGTTACTTATCAACCTCTTTTATCAGGGCATGGAGACAATTGAAGGCCTCATCCTAAATTTGCATGTCCGAGAGCAAGATCGGCTTGCGCAGAATTTCGTTGGTTTAGATAATTCAGAAAGAAGTTGTTATGAACGTTTTCTTGACATATTAACATGACCTTGTGGAAACAATTCATCACAGGGCCGTCGACTAGGCTTCCTCTCTTGGCTCCCCACAAACTCTGCTTCGACAAAATCATCTTCCAGTTCAAATGAAAGACACTTAATAACTGATGCATTTTCAAGAATGCGCCAATTAAGAATACTCCAGCTCAATAATGCAATGCTCACTGGAGACTACAAAGAATTTACCAGGAAGTTAAGATGGTTGTGTTGGCACAGGTTTCCTTTAAAATCTATGCCCAACGAGTTCATTCTAGAGAGATTGGTTGTTCTTGATATGCAAAATAGCAGTTTGAAACAAGTTTGAGGGGAATGACGGTATACTACTAAATTATTTATCTTTTTCCTTTTCTGGAGGATTAATGTAAATATTCATATAAATTAATTTCTTACTTTTTGACAACAGGTGCTCAGATCATTAAAAATCCTCAACCTTAGTCATTCCCACGGCCTTGCCAATACGCCCGATTTTTCAAAACTCCCAAATCTTGAGAGATTGATTCTTAAAGATTGCATAAATTTGATCGAGGTTAATGAATCCATTGGGGAATTAGGGAGACTTGTTGTGTTAAATCTTAAGGACTGCAAGAATCTTAGGAATCTTCCCACAAAAATTGGTCAGCTAAAATCTGTGGAGAAATTCATCCTCTCTGGTTGCTCAAAGCTCGACAAGTGTTGAAAGAATTTTGCAAGATGGAATCTTTGAAGGTTCTTCACGCATATGGTGCTGCAATAAATCAACTACCCTCTACCAGCACTACAGAAAATAATGGCACTCACACTGGTTCTCTTGGGTTTCTGGACTAAGAAAATCTCCAGAATCGATCAGTTTTTCAATGGATTTCCTGTCACGCTCATTAGTGAGCTTGAATCTTGCAAATTGCAATCTGTCAGATGATGCCATTCCAGAGGAATTTGGTAGGCTATCCCTGTTGCAGAACTTGAATCTAGACAGAAATCCGATTTGTAGCCTTCCAGATAGCATCAAGTGTCTCACCATGCTCAAGTCACTTAATATAAAGAGTTGCATGAGACTTCAATTGCTTCCAGAGCTACCTATGAGTTTACAATTTTTGAGTATAGATAATTGCAAGTCACTGGAAATAATAACAAATCTACCAAATCTGTTGACATCATTGCTTTTGGTAGCGTTTAATTGTGATAAACTAGTCGAGGTTCAGAAATTGTTCAGGTTGGAAGCTATTCGAAACATTGATGCAGATATGATCAAAGAGTTATGCTTGGTTAAGTTGGAATCCATGGGAAAGGGTGGGGTGAAATTGTTCAATAACGTGACACTTACGGACATGATTGGTCCCATCTAGGTGCTCTCTCTCTCGTTATGATTTCCAAGGATCAGGGACTGTATGAATACGGTATATTCAGCATTTTTCATCCTGGAAATGAGGTTCCAGGCTGGTTCAGCAATAAGAGTACAATGTCCTCGATATGTTTCAGTGTTCCTTCACTTCCTAATCTCAAGGTTCGAGGCTTGAATGTATGCGTTGTTTATGCATACGCCAATACACCTTACATGGGTAGGACAGCAGCACAGTATTGGATTGAATGCCTTGTGAATACCCCCAAAACAGAAGAGTATTGGGATTTATGCATTATGAAAACCTTCAATAAGACCAAGGATGTGAAGTGGATCTATTGCCCGACGTTTACAGGGATTCCAGGTTATGGGGAAAGTATGATGTTGTCAAGCCATTGGAAGATTGGAAATGAGTTGGAAGTTGGTGATGAAGTGGTTGTTTCAGTGGAGTTGTGGGATAGATTTCAACTAAAGGAGTTAGGAGTCCACATTGTGTATGAAGAAGAAGAAGAAGAAGAGAAAGATGATGTTATTGATATTGATGTGGTAGATTTATCAATATATCAGGCAAGGAGAGGTTCATACTTCCTCTGCCATGACTATTTTATCCACCAACAGTGCTCAATTGATGATGGCTGGAGTACTAAGGGTTGGTATGACATCCTATTTGGGGACTCTCTAGGCCACGGAGCCCCAATGATGAGTAAATTTTTACTTAAGCTCAGTCTCGAAGATCTCTACCTAAAAGGATTTATGCAAAGGAGGATGTCCTCATCTTAAGAGCTGTAGGATGGGAGATCTCTCTCTCTTGACTCTGGATCGGATCAATTGTTTTATTATTATTATTATTTTATTATTATTATTTTTTTTGTGTGTATTTATTCAATTGAATTTACCTTCATCTAAATTTTTTGGATGACTAAATATTTTCTGGGCATTTGCACAGGTCATCTTAAACATTGCCATACCTTTTTTTATTTAAAAAAATAATTTTATTTTTTGTAAACATTGAAGCATGGTTGGAAAGTGACACAATTTTCTGGTCATTTTTATTATCTTATGTCTTGCCTCATCAGGAAACCATGAATCAACCTGTAACTTAAGTGCTTCCCTTCCATATTTTGGTTTTCGTTGACCTTGTCGCTTTCTCTTTCTTTTATCTTTTGATTTTCCAACGTTGCCAAGGATACATACATAAAAATAAATATATAAATAAAACTTCATATTGGGCGGTTTTAAAGAGTTTTTTTTTTTTTTTTTTTTACATGGCAAAGAGTGTTAGAAATTATTAAATTAGATTAATAAATGCATAAGGTCAAAATCTGACATTTCAAAAGCTAATTTAGACACACAAATAATAAAAACTAAATAAAATTGAGATTTTTTTTTTATGATAGACTCAAACCATCTAATAATTGATATTTATAATACTAAAGTCACTTTATGTCAGATAGTTTATACAATTACCTTCACGTTTTTACTACTATAGTGTTGTAATTAGTGGGTACTATGTAATAAATTATCATAATTAAGACAGTGTAGGAACAAATTATCATAATTTCGACACTGTAAAAACTTCTGATTGGTTTGTGAGGCAACAGTAGAGATGGTGGGCAGAGAGAGACCAAACAAACGAGTTATCATTTTTGTGGTTTCTATACCATGTTTGCCTGAAGTTCCATGTATCACATACACTATAAAAATGACTATTAACATTGGTATGAAAAATCTTTAAACTGGGACCCACTATATTTTAGTATACTTGTTTCCGATCTGAGCCTGATTAGTTGAGGAAAAAGTATCTTGAGTTGAGTTGTTGCGTGTACCTATATAAAGCAATCAGTTGCCCAAGAAGTAGAAGATACTGCTTTGGCATGCTTGCCTACAAACATAAGAAAACCATCATCTCATCATCATCATCATCATCATCATCTGGCATATGAAAAATCAAGAACTGAAAATGCTGAAGAATATTGGAATAGAAGTAAGGGCGTACCCATAAGAAGACACTTACATATACATGACAGACAAAAAATTGTATGCATATGGAAACTGACAAAAGATGCATGCAAATAAATAAATAAAATTACATGCCAAGGCAAAGAAATAGATATTGCTTTTAGCAAATTTTATTTTAAAGCAGCATGTCACCACAACAAAATTCCTTGTATACTTTGCTATGTAGGATCAGGAAAAGGAATGAAAGAACATTAAACCAATAGCAGAATGCAAAGAGTGACAAACAAGGTGATCAAGAATCTATAGGTTGGCTGCTTTGAGTTGACCTGATAAGTTAGATATCCTAAGTACTCACCATGCTCAAAAACTAGTCATTATTAAATAATGGAGGCACAACAAGAAAAATACAGCACTTGTTATGTTTCTCTCACTGTTCTCCAAATCTAAATTTTGTTTAAAACTTATTAAATATGTATATCATTTTAGTTTAATAATAATAATAATAAAGACTTTCACTGATCCAAGACTTTTTTCCCATAACTAGTGCAAGAAAAACCATGGGCTGACACTGTAATACATTAATTCACATGGTAAACAGGTCCTTAAGCACATTGTGGAGTAGCGACACTATAATACAGTCACTACTCCAGCTAAGAGAACCTCTGCATCCTTTACTAAGTACCTTAATTACCATAATGGAAAAAGGCCATCAACCAGTGTTACTCCACCTAATGCAGGATGTTGGGACTTGGGTGTGGTGGATTAAATACAGACAGTAATTCCTAACTTTTAGCTTCATTTTCACATAATAACTGCTCTCCGACTCTAGTTACCATAACAATTGCAGACCTTTTTTGGTTTCTATACCATGTTTGCCTGAAGTTCCATGTATCACATACAATATTAAAATGACTATTAACATCGGTATGAAAAATCTTTGAACTGGGAGCCACTATATTTTAGTATAATTGGTTTCCGATCTGAGCCTGATTAGTTGAGGAAAAAGTATCTTGAGTTGAGTTGTTGCGTGTACCTATATAAAGCAATCGGTTGCCCAAGAAGTGGAAGATACTGCTTTGGCATGCTTGCCTATTCGCACAAACATAAGAAAACCATCATCTCATCATCATCATCATCATCTGGCATATGAAAAATCAAGAACTGAAAATGCTGAAGAATATGGGAATAGAAGTATGGGCGTATCCATAAGAAGACACTTACATATACATGACATACAAAAAATTGTATGCATATGGAAACTGACAAAGATACATGCAAATAAATAAATAAAATTACATGCCAAGGCAAAGAAATAGATATTGCTTTTAGCAAATTTTATTTTAAAGCAGCATGTCACCACAACAAAATTCCTTGTATACTTTGCTATGTAGGATCAGGAAAAGGAATGAAAGAACATTAAACCAATAGCAGAATGCAAAGAGTGACAAACATGGTGATCAACAATCTATAGGTTGGCTGCTTTGAGTTGACCTGATAAGTTAGATATCCTAAGTACTCACCATGCTCAAAAACTTGTCATTATTAAATAATGGAGGCACAACAAGAAAAATACAGCTCGTGTGGACCTCATATGCCTAATTTAACAAAATCAAGATATTTGCCATTAAAATTGTAATTAGAGAGCAAAATTTGGTAACTATCTTGTGGTTTTTGGGTTTGGTTCAACTAACACAAATTTGGCTCAAAAGTCCCTTCACAATCTCCGAGTCATGGTTTGCATATCAAACTTCAAATTTCTTTTACTAGGCCAAGAAGATAAGTAATGCAATACTCCACTTTGTAGCACATTTACTAGAAAGTTCAGTTCCTTAGTGGCTGAAACTGCTTAATAATTCAAAATCTTCGAAATAGTGCAATATTTTTATTTTTTATTTTTAACTTTTGTGTAATATAAGGGACATACTCCGTATTATACTAGATATAAACTTCAGTACGGTGATACCATTTAAAAAACTGTGAGTGTGTGGAGAAAGAAAGTTAGTGGCATATACTACGAGCTTTCAAAGATAAGATGGTTATGTCTAAGAATTGAATAATGGAACATAGGAATTGTTGTGGAACCAATATCACGCTGTTTGGGTATTGAGCTCTGCTGCACTGAATAGCAATAAAATTTTTACATAGACTCTGGTATTAACAAATTTTCAATTTTTTTTGGCCAATGTGACACCCTTCTCTACTAAATACAGGTTCCAAACAAGTAAAACCATACAAATGCTATCAAAAACAATATGGACCCAAACCCATTCCCATTGAAAAACACAATCAACTGATTCAATTTCCACGAGACCCTAAAGGAACCATAAATGGGTGCATTACATAAACACAATTAATAACAGCATAATATATATATATAGAGAGAGAGGAGAGAGAGACTTACCCCCATCCGTTTGCCCTTTCCTCCAGCCAAAAGAATGACGGAGACGCTTTTCTCTTTCACAATTTCATCGGTCTGCAGAATAACTCGAAAATCAATACTTTCAATCAGCCAACAAATGACAATCATCTCCAGATAAACAATCACATACACATATATACATGTATAATAAAAAATAAAATAAAATAAAATAAATCCCAAATAACCAAATCTAACTGACTCTGCATATAAATACACATACACAGATTTGCATACATATTTACATATATATGTGATTATCATTCACCTCTTTGAGCTCCCCAACTTCCGCAGAACAACTGATTCTTGATGTACTAGCAATTCTTGCCTCTCTCACAAAATCGATTCTATCCCTACGCTTGCCCACAACTCCAAAGTTCTTCAAGTGATTCGAATTCGAGAAATGCAGAATTGGGGTGAAGGAATTGGACTGAATTCGAAGATTAGTTCCAAACAACACTGGGAAATGTGAAGAATAAGAAGATAGTGAGAGGCTGACTTGCAGAGTCATCATCTCTCTAGACTCTTGTTTTCCTATCTGGGTTTGAGCTGTATAAGAGGCCGAACCAATCAAAAAGATGCATATATATATATATATATTGATTGATAAAAAAATTCTTATACGTCTGCTATTGGATTTGGAGTAGCCACGAATATTATAAACACAGGAAAGACTAAACGTGCATCGCGAGTTTGGTCCAGTACATATTAAAATGAGAAGAAATTAAAGAAGACAAATTTACAAGTATGGGTGGGGCCCACTGAGCAATATAAAGCGCAACTCTAACTTCCATGGGAAATTCAATAACTTACAAGGTTTAGTTACAATTAGGCACCGAACTGGTATGTACATTATTACTTATATTTTTTGTTAAAATTTTAAAAACATATCTCTCAATTTGTAAAAGTTTTAAAAAAGCCCCTCAATTTATTGAAATATTCCGCTTCACATTCTTACTCTTACTGATTTTTTTTATTTAAAAGGTAATAATCCCTTTTTACTATCTACAGCTCAGCCACATTCATAATTCTCTCCCACACTTTTACATACCGACTGAATTTTTAATAATATCCACTATATATATTCTCGCATGCACTGATATTGTTAGATCCAAAAGAAATAAATAAATTAGTTTTCTTGTTTCTTCACTCTTTACTATTCTAGCACAAATACGATTAAAAGATTAAAGAATCTAAGTCCAACAAGCCACAAAAAATAAAATTCTTATTTATTAGTATTTTATTTTTTTTAAAAAAGTATCTTCAATTTTTTTTTTTTTTTTAACAACGCCCCTTCTCAAAAAAATTCATGAGTCCGTTACGGGTTACAATCTTTTACAAAATTAATTTTTCTTTTGTCACACAACCTCACCGCATTAAATCAACACATTCTCATTTTCAATACACTTTTTGAAATATTTTTATAAAAAATTATTGATTTTTCAAATCCAGATTATAAATTTTGTTCTTTCGTCATGATGCAAGTTTTTTTTTTTTTTTTTTTAATCCTCTCGACTATCATCTTGCCAAAGAAAGTTTTGAATGATATTGAAAATATATTAAGAAGATTTTCTTAAGATACTCCTAATATGAGACATATGAGGAAAGGTGGCCCAAAAGTGGCATGGTGTAATGTATGTAAAAAATATGAGGGAGATTTGTGTACTAAGAATTTTTATTTTTTATTTTTTTTTCTTTGAATAAGGTAGCTATTTTAAAATATTTATGAAACTAATTCAATTTAATAATCAATATTTACTACAAAAGAGTGTAGCCTAGAAGTATCTACTTCCATAGTGTAAGGTGGATTCGGTCCGTAGGACATATGGAGTACATGTTACCTTCTGAAACCACTACTGTTGGGTCAGAGTACTCCACTTGTGGATTCTTCAGTCTATGACATGGTTGTCAAATAGAATCGCACGATTTTACGACTCAGAACTCAAAATCAAGTCAAATCGCAGCAGAATCGTTCAATTAGTAGAATCGGGGTAGAATCGTAGAATCGGAGGTAGAATCATACGATTCTACACGATTCTACCGATTCTACGAAATTGATTGTTTGGGCCTTTATTTTTGGGCTTTTTTTATTTTATTTTATTTTTTGGTTGGTTTCTTTTAGGCTACAAAATAAAAGAGGCCTGACCCAAGTGTAGTATACAAAGTTAAATATTTATTCTATAAAATATAAATTATTTTTCATTAGTGGCAGAAAAAGAAATATATATATGTATATATATCAATTATTTTTACCATGCATGTTGATGTTCCATAATATATTTTTGTGTATAATTATAAAAAATTAAAATGATCAATTATATCTCAAGGATGCATACTCGTGACTAACAGGTTTAGGCAAATTTTGGTTTCATTTGACTAATTTTTTTTTGAAGGCTTATCATATATATTAAAAATTAAAAATAATTTAAAAGCTTAAAAAACTTGCCAAATATGCCAGCCAATGTATAATCTTGTAGTCTAAACTGATAGTATAATGAGATCAAGTTAATGCGTGGTTTATATTTTGTTGTGCTAACTCTTGATTAATTTCATACTTGTGACTAATAAGGTCACAAACACCGTAACACTTGGATTGGTGGACAAAAAGGTCTTTTTATTTCTTCAGTTTTCGTGAAATAAATAAATAAATAAATAAAATTGCATAGAGTTAAAAAAAAAATAGTTTACTTTTGATATGTAATTTTATTTTCTAACTTTGGAGATGGATGGGTTAAGATTTGAGATTTGTAAACTTATGTTATTTTGAGCTAAATTCTCTTTCATTTATATTCGGACTTTGAAATATTGTTAGGATTTGAGATTTGTGAATTCATGGATATGTAATATTATGTGTTTTGGCCTCATTTTTGTTATATTTTACAGATCTTATTATTTAAGAAGTTAGTTTCAATTGTTTTTTCACAATTTAGTAGAATCTTACGATTCATGATCCGATTTTACGATTCCGATTCTACGGAACCCAAAACGATTCTGCGTAGAATCCCGATTTTAACAACCTTAGTCCATGACATGTATGTTTTTAGGATGGAAATGAACTTGTATTGCCCCATGTATTATTATTATTATTATTATTATTGAAATCGGAGCTCCGGAACTCTTCCCCAAATAGTGGTTAAATATAGAGAACTTGTGAAGATAGAGTAGTGGTAGCAATTTGTGTTCATGAGTCATAATTTTATACTATCGTTGATGTAAAGATATTCTATTAAAAAAAAAAAAAAAGAAGGTCAAATTCGATCCATTTAATAATCGTCTCAGGAACTTTCAACACTAACCCCACCTGTTTATTAAATGGGTTAACATGTAACCCATTTAATAACTTGTTTATCAAACGAGAGATTTAATATTAATAAAATAGTAAATACTAAAAAAAATTTGTTACAATTAATCCAAATATTCAAAATAAAAAGAAAAATCATAAGGCGTAATCAAAGTTTATTTTGAAATGATTTAATTGTTCATCGTAATTGGGTTTAAACAAGTAACATATTACATAGGTCATATTCACGATTATGACATATTGAGTTAAACGGGTATAAACATGTTACACTGGTTAAACTCATCAATCCTAACCCGATACGGTTAAATAAACGGATTAATCGTGTCAACTTATTTATGACCCGAACTTATTTAAGGTCAACCCAAACTTGCTAAAGGTCAACTCGAACCTGTTTATCTCGTGTCATGTTCGAATCGTATTGGCATGTCGTGTGAAAAAATAGAGAGGAGGTAAATACAAATAGATTAAGAATTAATGGCAAATACAAACAGTAGTGAGTAAAGTATTGAACAAACCATTATTCCAAAGTCTCTTACAAATTCCACACACCAACTAAATAAATCAACAATACCATATCAACTAAATTCTTTATTGAACACAAATGGAAACAGGAAAACCAGAAACATATCATCAAGCTTTGTTCCTCACACTCAGCATTCACCTGCACATGCAATAAGGCATTCACTGAACAATCCATTTCCAGAATGGTTAAATATAGTTTTGTGCTAAGATGTGAACGAAATTACCTAAAAAACACACCCAAAAAAAAAAAAAAAATATTGGGATAAGAAAAAGAACAGAAAAGAAAATAAATGACCCATGACATCTATGTCGATATGGAACTGACCCTCTTGAACCATGAAAAATTTCAATTGCCTATCCACAGTAATGTGAACCCTTCATAGAATCCTATATTGGCTAATGAAAAAAATACGTAAAAAAAGAAAAATATAATCCCTAATGTTTCTCCTTGTTGAAAATGGGAGCACAAGGAAAAAGGAAGATGCGTTCAACAACTTATTTTGTAGGGTAAAATAAAAGAACATAAAAAGAACATTTAAAGTCAGCTCGTTAGCCATGATATTGTGTAAAAAAATTCGTTGTTTCTTCATTGCCAAATCATGAAAAGGTAATGAGCTTAACTTTAGGTTTTCTATTATTTCTTTAACAAAACTAGTAAATGTAAATTAAACCGAAACAACAAGAAACATTAAAAATATTTCCTAAACAGCGGTCGCCCTGTCTGGTATAGCATCAAAACATAATAATGAAAATTAATGTTTTTCAAAACTTTTTAAAGTTTTGAAAAACATTAATTTTCATGGCATCATCTCCTATCCTTCTCCAGCCATCATAAGCATGTATTCTTAGTCAAAAGAATATAAAACCATTTGTGAATGTGTCCATGAGAGAAGGACTCACTCAAAATTTGTTGGATAAATCCAACAATTCAAGCAAAAGATGTTCTGCAAATTCACCTTCAAAGGACCAAAAAAAAAAAGGGAGACATTAGAGGGAGAGAGAGAGAGAGAGGGTACTATCCAAGTTTTAGTGGGAGAATCATGGGCAATGTACTGATACAACAATTTTATAAGCAAAAGATGTTCCACAAATTCAACTCAAAGGAAGAAAAATAGTAAACAGAGAAAGAAGGGTTACCTTAACCATCCTCAGCAGAGGGATGTGGATGAATAAATGGAGCTCTGCTTTATAGAATGTTGCACGCATTCGCTAAGGCCTTCCCCAAGGCATGCGCCAAGATGATGTTCATGAGATCATTCGGCAAACGGTCATCTATTGGGTAGAAGAAAGGGCTGAATTTTAATTTGACGTTGTCATCTTCCCATTTCAATGCTTCCCACCACTGCTGGGGTCCATAAATTTTCCTCAGATTAGGTGCACTGTCTACGCCAAAAGGAAAAAATTCCAGTTTTGGGCCAACGAAAAAAGAAACCTCCTGTAATGAGGGCCAACAGAAGGAGACATTCCCCTTGGAGAAGTGAACAAATTCCTGTAGAAAACAAAGTTCCAAACGCTTCAGTTTCGGCAACATCACACATTCAGGCTTCCTGCTGCTGGACTCCACATCGTCAACTGAAATCATCTCTACGAAATTATCACACCCGATAATTCTCAATAACTCCAAATTAAGGAATTGTGGAATTGACTGCCATGTGAAAAGTGTCCTCAAGCCATTGCAAAAACATAGTTCCAAATGTCGAAGATTAGTGAAACTGCTGCTGCTGCAGGTTCCTGATTGCATTGCTAATCTCCTGCAGATGCTCTCTAAATTTTTGATATGTTGCAATACAAGGCATTCTAAATTTGCAAAGGCATTCGCTCGTAATCCAGCTTCATCTACAATGTTTTCAATTGCATCACATTTACAAACCCTGCAATATTTTAACCCATTCGTGTTTTCTACGCCCAAATCTGAAAGTTTTCTAAGTTCATTGTGACCAACTAGTGCAAAAAACTCTGAGCGTAAAAGCACGTCCATTACTGCAGAGGGGATGATGTTGTCGCCATCGCTTCCACCTTCGTAACCCAAACAACTCTTATATGGTTTGCATTGATCTGTAAATCTTCCACATAGTGGAATTGTATTTGGGAATTCATGTCCAACATAGAAAACGAATTTCGTCAACTTTCCATGTCTCCATTGTTTGCTGTTTAAAAGAAAGTGTTTGAGATCACTTGCATTTCCAAATCTGAATCTAAGAGAAGAAAGCCGTGTCAAGCTACCAAGCTCTTTTTGTAAGACTTCCCAACTTTTCTTTGTTTCATCTTTGATATCGTCTCCAAAAATATCCAATTTTTCTAAGAGACGAAGTTTGGACAATATTCCATTTAGATTGATCACATCGTCACTGAGACTAATCACTTCACTAGAAAATTTGAAACACCTAAGGCCAGTCAACTCCCAAACAGCACTAGGTATGCATGCCATGTTATTTTCTGTGAGACAGAGCACCTCAAGTAGCTTAAGTGCACGTACTTCACGAGGCAATGCCTTCAACTTCCTGCATCTTTTTAGAAGCAGTGCTCTGAGGCTTACCAAATTTGAGATGGAGGATGGTAATGAGATGATGCCGGTATCTGATAGATCCAAAACTCGGAGGCTTGGCATGTGGTTGAAGAAAGATTCAGGTATTACTTGCAACCGAGAGCTAAGATAATCTTTTGATTGAAGCAGCAAAGTTAAGAGGTTGGGACAATTTGGCATCTCTGGTAAATTGTACAGTTGATTAAACATAAATGAGATCCTAATTGCGTCTTCCCAATCCTTATCATCTGGTATCTCATCTCTGCACAGTCCAGCTCTCACCATTTGTCTGCTTTCTTCTCCTCCCGGTGAAGTCATTTTTAGAACTAAATCTCGAACCACATCATGCACCTTTACATGCCTTCCATCCTCACACTTTTCCAACAGAGACAAATCACCAAGATCACGTAATAGGACAAGTCCTTCAACACGGGCCTCTTCTAAAGTCCTTTTACTCGGAAGAAGTCCCTCCGCTCTCCAATAATTAATCAATTGAGATTTGCTAATCTCGTGGCCTTCCGGATACAAGTTACAATACAAAAAACAGTTCTTGATGTTGGAATCTTTTAATTGATCATAAATGACCTTCAATGACCCAAACAAACGGTCACTCACATTGTTGACAGTAGACATATCTGGTGACTTCAACTTCTTCAATAAGTTATGCCAGATATCAGCATCTTCAACCTTTCTTAGGGCACCACCTACTACATTTAGTGCAAGTGGTAAGCCACCACACTCTCTAACAATTTCTTCAGCGATAGGCTTGATAGTTGGAGACCTAACAATTTCTCCAACTTTTGATTCGAACATTTTCCATGATTCCTCATTAGACAAAGTCTCCACTTGGATTTCCACGTCAGTCTCCATCTCATGACAAACTTTTAATTCTCTAGTTGTCAGAATAACTTTGCAACCACTATCTTGATTTATGCTTGGAATGCCTACCTTACTCAAATCTACTCTTTCCCAAACACCATTCAGAAGTAACAAGTACTTTTTGCCCTCAAGTTCGCGGTGCAGTCTCGTTGAAACTTCATTATCTTCTATATTGTCATTATCTCCCATTTTGCTCATATCCAAATTCAAATTCAAGCAATTTGCAACTTGAACTTGCAGTTTCCTAACATTCCAAGACTTTAAGACAGATACCCAAATTACAAAATCAAACATTTTCTCCACTTTGGGCGAGTTGTTCATGGCTTTCATTAAAGCTGTCTTACCAACCCCACCGATACCCCAAATTCCTATCTTTCGGATATTTTTCTCCCCTATGCAATCAAGTATCTTTTTCAAGTTGCGATTAGCTGAAGTTTCTGCACTCAAATTTGGGGCACGCCTCATCTTAACTATTTCTGGAGGCAAATTAGTAACGAAACCACCTTCAAAATCGGATTTCTCTTGGAGCTCTTTAACACGCTGAATCATCTCAACCACACGCTCGCCAAGCTTTGCACGGGCGGTATCTGGAAACCATCCTTTAAAACGCCTCTTGTCAACAAGGTGGTCCTCTTCTATCATCTTCGCCTGTTTCTCAATCCTATCCACATCTGCAAGCCATCCAATGCATTCCCGTGTAGGCTCCTGCTGTTGCTTTACACGGTCTATTTTATCTCTAATGTCGCCCCTCTTGTCACATAATTGTTGTACTCTTCTCGTAAGCTCTGTGAAATTCTTTGCCAGGTTTGATGGAGAAGTACTCGTGCGTCCTACAATGGGTTTCATTGCCTCTGCAAAGATTCAGAATATGACACACTAGTTACAAACTACGTACCTGCAGTGGACTGGAAAACTTACATAGGCAATCAGAGTATATTGTAACTTTGCAATTTTGCATGTTCATAGATATTGTTGTTAAAGACGTTCCCTCATGTAGGAAATCATACATAGTTGCAAGAAAATCCATGATCAATAGAAAACAATGGTAAATTTTGACAATCAATAGTATTCTAAATTTCAAAAAGAAAATATTTTCCATGTATTACTAATTAGAGGTTTCTCATCTTAATGATTTCGAAATTTTCCAATGTGTACCTTGTCATTATCAAAAGGATAGCTAAATTGAAATTAGAACAAAAATGGGAAAAAAAACTTATGCTATTGACGCCTTCTACTCCTTTTGGACCAATCTTGAATTTATTAATAACATAAAGTATCAAAAGTGTAAAGGTATAAACTCAAAAATAAAATAAAACTGTAAATAGTGTCCATAATTCAAGTTTAAACAAATGTTATGTTTTGCGGCTCCGAATCAGCACATTGAATTTGAAATTGGATAAATTTTAATACAATTTTTTTTTCTTATTGATGGTCATTTTCTAATTAAATTAGAGATGCAGTTTAGCATTTGGCTTACCAGAATGTGTCCCAAAAATAAAATAATAAACCCATAATTATATTAATAAGAAAACTCAAGCATGTGGCATTGTCAATAACATAACGCAATATCAATCTTAATACCATGTTTGTTTATCCTCCTTCTTGGATATATATATATATATATATATATATATTAAGGTGATGATAATTATAATCAATCATAATTATACATATATATATTATGGTGATGATATCCTAGCAGGTTAGAAGGAATGAGTAGGGTAGACAAAATGGAAATAAACAAGTGATATTCTTTGTGCTGGGGTGCAATTTGGGTAGGCTAACCTAGCCCAACTCAAACTCAACTCGAAAATTTTGAAATTTGGGCTTTTAAATTCACAAACCGGGCTCAAATTGGGTTGACCCAAACAACCCGACCAACCCGAAAATATTTGGGTTGGGCTTCATGGGTTGAAACCCGAATTCGAGTTACCTCGAGCCAGTCCAACCAAACTTGAATCCGGGTTGAGGTTGGGCTCGGGTTGGGCCAGTCCAAGTTGCACCCCTAACTTTGTGACAAATAATTATTAAATAAATTGATGAAAATTTTTGTAGAAGTAGTTTTTGCAAGATACAACATTTTCAATAGCTGAGAGGGCAAAATGGAAATACAGGAGGTAGCTTGCAATATATATAGGCTGAGTTTTTGTTTGCGGCTGACACACTCCTACCATCTTTTTTGAGTAGTAGAGGAAATACGATGACTAAGTATACAACCATTTTGGTAGTGGTGATATTGGCAATCATCTTTTCTAATTTATATTTTCATTTAAAAGAAAATAATATTTTATAAACCTTAACTTCAAAAGTTGATGATTATTCTTTTACAAATTACACTACAATCCTTCTAGATATGGTTGATCTCCCCATCTTTCTTTTTAATTTTTAATTTTTTGGTTTTTGACTGAATAAAAAAATAATTATTATTTAATTAACCCCATAATGACATATTTCGCCACATTGTATGATACTGTTTACTTTGGGCCCGAGTCAGCACGATTTTGCTCTTAAATTTTACCCCAAAATACCTCATATCATTTGAATTATATTTAAGTAACAATAAAAATAAGGATAATGCTTGTATCCAACCCAGATTGGATGAAGTTCATCCAACCTGGGTACGTGGCCCAATCATTCTATGACAAGTGTTCAAAAGCATTATTAGAATTAAGTTAGGTATTATCCAATTATTCGGGTTTGACCCGTTCAGAACTCACGCTTTCATAACTCTTTTTTTTTTTTTTTTTTTTTTTTTTGCTTGATTTCATAACTCTTTAAATCGCTCCCTTTGCCCTCTCTCCAGCAATGCCCTAGCTCTCTCATTTTGCCCTCTTTCACTCAAGACGATGTGGGGAAGTCAAATTCTTGTTATTTCTTTAACCAACACATTTTTGCTTATTTGATAGGAATCTCAAATGGTAGGGGAACAGAAATGCCTTCTACAATTCATTTAATGATGAACTATAGAACATAAATGCCTTCTATAGTTTATTTAATGATGAATTATGGAACAAAAATTCCTTCTACATCTCATTCAATGATGAACACAAATCGACTACCTAATATGATTTACACTCGATTACTTCAAGTAATTATTTTATCCTAAGAAAATGGTTGATTATGTTAAAGATTAATGACATAGATTTAATTATTTCAACCTTCTTGTCATTTTTGTTTTTCAATATTTGTAGGAGTCTCATCATGGTAGCCTGCCACAAAGTGCACAATAAGGCAAAGAATTTGAAATTTTCCTCACTGTTAGAGGACTATTCGGAAAGTTATTTGAAAGCTTGCATGTGTTACTTTTTGTTCTTTCACTTAATTATTATAATTTTTGTATCCTATGGCAACACAATAGATATGGTCCAATGGAATGCCTTTTGTGCGAATTATTTGGGTAATGCAAATTAATTGGGAGATAAATTTTATGCTTTGTGCTTAGATAATGATTACATAGTTGTTCAACTTCAATATAACATCACAAAATTTTCAACTTGTTATTCCATCTTTTTCTTAATAAATTCCATCACTTTCTTATCCCATAATGATTACAGAGTTTGTTGTACGGAAGCGTGGGCCCAACAAATAACTAATGGTGATTGTGATCATACACTAAAAAGAATGCACTCACAACATAATAAATAGGAGAAAACACACACACAAAAAGAAGAAATGGATTTACGTGGTTCAGTAATGTGCTTACGTCCACGGGGCAGCTTAAGATCAATGCACTAATATCAAAACCCAAAGGGTTACAAAAGGCTCACAAATGAGAAAATATACAAATATTTTATTCTATCTAAATTAGCTCACTTAAGAGCTCTTGTTTTTCTCACTCTAATGAACTTCTCCTTTTATGCTTCAAATGGTTTCTAGGACTTCTTTATTTATAAGGAGAAACGATCCTTTCATCATTGGAGCCAACAACAATTGGAGTAAAACATAGAATGTTTCCTTCAATAAAACCATCCCACTTTTGAGCCATAAAACAAGGAACCATAAAACAAGGATTCCATGTTTTGAGACAAGGAACCATAAAACAAGGATTCCATGTTTTAAGCCATTAATCAACAATCTCCACCTTGGCGAAAAATCTGTACAACTCCCCGAAGTGAAGTATTTCCAAACATGATCTTGAACTGCCTCCAAATACGCCCAAAGCCCAAAGGTGCTCAAACTCGCAGGATATTAATCAAGTCTAAGCAATGCTCAAACTTGACCTTCGTTATAACCTTCGTCAGCATATCTGCGGGATTATCCGTAGGCCCAATCTTCTGAAGGAGAATATCACCATCCAAAATCTCACGAATAAAATGGAAACGGACATCAATGTGTTTCATACGTGAATAATGAACCTGGTTCTTTGCCAAACAAATAGCACTTTGACGTCATAATAGACATCAACATGCTCTTAAATAATCCCCAAGTCCTCAATCAACCCATGTAGCCATATGGCTTCCTTAATGGCCTCTATCACTACCATGTACTCTGTCTCTATTGTAGACAAAGAAACTGTAGGTTGTAATGTCAACCTCCAACTTATCGGTCCTCTAGCAAGTGTGAACACATAACCCGTAGTTAACCGAGATTTACCCAAATCACCAGAATAGTTCGAATCCACATAACCAACCAAATGTTGACTAAGTCCATCATTCCGCTCAAACTTCAAACCAACATCCATAGTACCTTAGATGTACCGTAGAATCCACTTCACTGTCTGCCAAAGACCTTTTCCTAGGTCATGCATAAACCTGCTCACCATACTAATGACCTATGAAATATCGGGTCTCGTAGACACCATTGCATACCTCAAACTTCTAACTGCACTTGCATACGGAACATGAGCCATGTGCAAACACTCTTCATCTGTGCTTGGAGATAATGAAGCATTGATCTTGAAATGAGGGGCCAAAGGGGTACTTACAGGTTTAGTATTCGAGTCCATACCAAACCGATGTAGCACCTTCTTCAAATATTGCTTCTGAGACAAACAAACAGTGCCCTTTCACTCTATCTCTGCTAATCTCCATTCCAACTATTTTCTTAGCTTCACAAAGATCATTTATCTCAAACTCAATACTCAACTGAATTTTCAACTTATCAATTTCAACTTTGCTCTTAAATGCAATGAACATATAAGAGCAAATATACAAATGATCTATCACGAAGCTTACGAAAATACACACAGTGATCAAAATGGTTTCTTCTGTACTATTGCCCTTTTATGAACTGATCAAATCATTTTTACCATTGCCTTGGATATTATTTCAACCCATATAACGATTTCTTCAGTTTGCAAACCCAATTTTCCTTTCCAATAACCTTGAATCCATCTAGCTGAGATATATAAATCTCCTCCTCAAAATCACCATGTAAGAAAACAGTTTTGACATCGAGTTGAGCTAACTTAAGATCAAACTGTGCAACCAAAGCTAGCAAAATACGAATGGAAGAATGTTTTACAATAGGTGAAAATACCTCATTATTGTCAATCCCTTCCTTTTTTGCATAACCTTTTGCCACTAATCTAGCCTTGAACCTCACACTGTGTTGCCTTGAAAAGCCTTCCTTCTTGGTGTATACCCACTTGCACCCTATAGCCTTCTTCTCATTTGGAAGCTAGACCAATTCCTAAGTCTGATTTGTATGATGAGATTGCATCTCCTTGTTTATTGCTTTCTTCCGATCTATATTTTCTGAACTTCTGACAGCTTCTTTATAGGTAGATGGAATGTCATCATCAACTATGGGTGGTGCGTATGCCACCATATCAGTAAATCGTGCAGGTTTCTTTATTTCTCTTCTTGATCTACCAACTGCAATAGAATATGGTTGCTATGGAGACTTTTAAGTATAAGCCTCCTCCTCTTCTGTACCTGTTTCCTCATCATCTGAGTTACTGACAGGTCTAGCTGGAACAATTGTAGCCTTAAGCTCCACCCACTGAGAAACTTATTTGGTCTTGTTCTTTATAGGATAACTTTTCAATGTAGAAGACTCATCGAATGTAACATCCCTACTATTAACGATTTTCTTTAACTCGGGGCACCAAAGTCTATACCCTTTCACACCTTAATTATAGCCAGAGAATATGGCTTTCTTGGCTCTAGGATCTAACTTACTCTCTTTAACATGAAAGTAGGTAGTATAACTAAATATTCGCAGAAAATTATAATCTGTAGCAGCTTTTTCCCTCATTCGCAACTGCAGGCAACCTATTGATGAAATGGCATGCGTATGTCACAGCCTCAGCCTAAAAGGCTTTGCCCAATCCAACATTTGACAATATACATCTAACCTTTTCTAACAAGGATCAATTCATGCGTTCTGCCACCCAATTCTGTTACGACGTGTTTCTGACTGTAAAGTGTTGAACAATACCCTCGTCCTGCATACTTGCAAGAATTGGTCCAATGTGTATTCACCGCTATTATCAAATCTGAGTCTTTTGATTTTTCTGCCAATCTGGGTCTTCATCACCTTTTTCCACTTCAAGAACACTTTTTAGACTTTATCTTTATGTTTTATGGTGTACACCCATACTTGTCTAGAGAAATCATCAACAAAAGACACAAACCAATGCTTACCTCCCAAAGATGCAACTCTAGTATATCCCCAAACATTTGTGTGAACATAATCAAGTATTCCCTTGGTGCGGTGTACTGCTATGCCAAACTTGACTCTTGTCTGCTTGCCCAGAACACAATGTTCACAAAATCCAAGCTTGCAAGTTTTGGCACCTTTCAATAGACTCTGCTTTACTAGTCCCTGCAAAGCCTTCTCACATGCATGTCCCAAGCATACATGCCATAATCTGGAAGTATATGATGCATCTGCCTCCGAATTATCTGCAACAGCTACTACGCCTGTAACTGTATTTCCAAGGAGAAAATACAAGTTACTTTTTTTCGTACCCTTCATCATAACTAGAGCTTTATAGGTAACCTTTAGACCATCGCCTTTCAGTGTGATCTCATAGCCTTTTGCTGCTAATGATCCAAGTGAGATGAGATTTTTCTTCAAATTTGGTACATACTGGACATCTTTGAGAACTCTGATTATTCCATTGTGCAACTTCAAACGGATCTTTCCTATCCCACTTGTTTGACAGGGATGATCATTGCCCATGAAAATAGCTCCACCGTCCAGCTCTTGAAAACTAGAGAACTACTCCCTGTTGGGATACATATGATAGGAACAACCCAAATCCAAGATCCACTCATGAGAACTGGATCGAACCGATACAGTCAAAGCAAACTCTGCAACTTCATCGTCACTGCTTACAATGTTGGCGGCAATTTTCTTGTCATCCCTGTTTTTCAACTTAGGACAATCCTTTTTCCAATGCCTTTTATTGTGACAAAAGGCACATTCTTCTTTGGTAAGATTTTTCCTGCCCGAATTTGATGCTCCTTTTGATTTAAATTAAGATCTTCCATGGCTACCAGACTTTTCTGATTTGTTCTACCACATACTGTTAGAGCTTCAGCTATTGAATCTCTATAAACCTCCTTATCCTTCTTGCAAAGCTCATTATACATGAGGGTATTAGAGACATCAACATATATAATTTCGTCTTTTCCATATAGTAGTGTGGTAACCAGATGTTCATACGAATCAGGCAGAGAGTTCAATAATAGTAATGTTTTATCCTCATCATCAATTTTAACATTCAAATTTTGCAAATCAGTAAGAATTTTGTTCAAATTGTCTAGATGCTTGGACATAAACATATTGTAACGACCCACTCCACCACATGGTATGATATTATCTACTTTGGGTCTGAGCCCGCACAGTTTTGCCATTAGATTTTACCCTAAAAGGCCTCATACTAATTGGAGATAACACCACCATATATAAGCATTTCACTTTTCCTTTACCCAGGCGATGTACGATTATACAACCATAGCTCGCCCAGTATGGTAACCTGCCAGTGCCTCGCACATGTTCACAAGGTTGCCATAATCACCCCCCCTTTGGGGCGCCAACATCCTTGTTGACCACACTTCCGGCTGAGTCAGGCTCTGATACCATTTGTAACAACCCCCACCTTACTCAGGCACAATATTATGCGCTTTTGGCTCCCTTGGACCAGAGACTTCCCAGGATTGGTCATCTTAGGAAGTCTCTGATCCAGGGGAGCTAAAAGCGGATAATATTGTGTTTGGGTAGAGTGAAGGTTGTTACACATTCCTTTTTTATAATCAAACCAGAAGAGTTTCTTCTTCAAATAGAGCCGATTTTCAATGCTCTTTGTCATATACTTGTCCTCCAGTTGCATCCAAAGTTTGTTTGCTGAAATTCCATGCATGAAAGGATATTTCTGATCCTTCCCGAGATAAAGTTGAATTTGACCATAAGCCTTACGATTAATCTTTTTCCAATCTTTTTCCTTCATTTCTTCTGATTTCTCTGCCCCCAGTGCAATGTCTAACTCTTGTTGAGTCAAAACATCCAAAACATTGCATTGCCACATCTTAAAGTTGTTTCGTCCATAAAAATTTTCAATATCAAATTTTGCGGTTACCATCTTCTTTTTCAACGATCAGGATCACCTAAAAGAATTTCTGAGTAATGGTGGTTGTGATCACACACTAAAAAGAATGCCCTCACAAAATAATAAATATGAGAAAATACACACACAAAAGGAAGATAAGGATTTACGTGGTTTGGCAATGTGCCTACGTCCACGGGGCAACTTAAGATCAATGCACTAATATCAAAACCCAAAGGGTTACAAAAGGCTCACAAATGAGAAAATATATAAATATTTTCTTCTCTCTAAATTAGCTCACTTAGAGCTCTTGTTTTTCTCACTCTAATGAGCTTCTCCTTTTGTGCTTCAAATGGTTTCTAAGGCTTCTCTATTTATAGGAGAAGCAATCATTTCATTATTGGAGCCAACAACAAGTGGAGTAACATGGAATGTTTTCCTCCATAAAACCATCCCACTGTTGAGCCATAAAAAAAGGATTCATGTTTTCAGCCATTAATCAACAGAGTTGTTATTCCATTGACGTGGATCACCATTGAAATGGATCTTACATTTTCAGCTTCAATATAACATCACAAAATGTTGCGTTTAAAACCCCGCTACTGGGGAAAGTGCACATTGAACATCTTATGGGGAATGCACGCACTTTCACCAACAAATAACGAACCCTGGTGAGAACTGCGCTAAGGAACATGAACGAAAGAACGAGCCTACGAAGCCCCGTCCGTGGGCTAGTCTTGAATCCTAAACTTTAACACTTAGAAATTTTTTGTCAAAGCCCTATTTTGAAAAACTAAGTGAAAGACACGGTTCATTAAGTCCATGAATGTGAAATCCATGGTAATGTGCTCCCATTTTCACTCTACTACTGGTAATGGTTGCAGCAAATTCGTCGGTCTCTGATACTCGGCCTTCACTTACTGACAAATAAGGCACCTAGTCACAAACTGCGCAACCCAAAATTTCAAAGTGGCGTAATGGGCTTGATTCTTACATCAATGGAAAGCTCTCATCAAGTGGAAGATTTTTCACTTCTAGCACAATCTCGAAAAAATCCTTTAAAAATCTTAATACTATAATGATAAAGTAGTATCAGATTTTATTTTTATTCAATTTGTTACAATTTTTATACCTGTAAAAGTTATATCAGATTTTATTTTTATTTAGTTTATTACAATTGGATTCTACATTTTATAGTCTGGGATTGGGTTCTTTGACATTGTTTATAGTCCGGGATTGGGCTATTTGCCTGAGAATTTTTAATGTGACGTAAAGTAAAAGGCAATTTGATGCACAGTAAAAGGCAATAAACAAAAAGAAAAAGTAAAATGTTAGACAGGTCAAATCCAAATAGTTGGGTAATACCCAATTTAATTCTAATAATGCTTTTGGACACTTATCTTAGAATGATTGGGCCACGTACCCAGGCTGATGAACTCAAGGACCATTTCCAAGATATATACACACACAAATATATAAATATATATATGTCTAGGTAATGGGTATATATATATATATCTATATATTAATTTTAATGTAAAGAAATTGTAACACATGGACGAAATAGTCAGGACAAATTTTTACTGCTCACCTTATTTCAATTTGAAGCACTTGGTGTCACTAGAAGAAGTACAGAAGATTTGAGCTGCTGGATAAAACTATTAGAATCTGTCAAAAAAAAAAAAAATGATTTAACCAAATGAATGATTTTAAAGAATTAGGACAATACAATACATGCTCACAGGAACAATAAATTACTTACCTAATTGTTGGAGTACGTAGTGTAGCCTTATGGAGAACCTTAAAGTAATTTGAAATTTTTTAAGGTTTCTGATTTATGTAAGGAATGAAACCAGCAAGCCGAATCTTATGACATGACTTTCGTGCGGGCATATATATATATATATTTATAGATAGAGAGAGAGAGAGAGAGAGAGAGAGAGAAAGAGCAACAATCCGAAGAAAAGAAGATGCTACTCAGATAAAGCTACACCAGGAAAATGAAGCAAGAAGATGCTTTCTTAGTTACACTTAGCGTTCCCTATCATGCTCATTTTGGATACATACATACATATATATATATACATACATACATATATATATATATATATATATATATATATTGAAGTGATGATATCCTAGCAGGAATGAGTTGGGTAGACAAAATGGAAATAAACAAGTGATATACTTTGTGACAAATATATAATTATTAAATAAATCGAGTGGAAAATTTTGTAGAAGTAGTTTTTGCAAGATACAACATTTTCAATAGCTGAGAGGGCAAAATGGAAATAGAGGAGGCAACTTGCAATATATATAGGCGAGTTTTTTTTTGCTGTTTATTACTAGGTATACAACCATTTTGATTAATCATCTTTTCTAATTTATATTTTTAAAAAGAAAATAATATTTTATAACCTTAACTTCAAAAGTTAATAATTATTCTTTTACAAATTACACCACAATCTTTCTAGATATGGTTGATCTCGACCTTTCTTTTTAATTTTTAATTTTTTGGTTTTTGACGGAATCAAAAAATTATTATTATTTAATTAACCCCATAACGATATATTTCACTATATGGTATAATATTGTTCACTTTGAACCCGAATCAGCACGGTTTTGTTCTTAAATTTTATCCCAAAATACCTCATATCATTTGAATTATATCTAAGTAACAATAAAAATAATTGATAGAAGGGAAAAACTCAAGGAACATTTCCAAGACATATATATACACATATATATGTCTGGCCGGGTAATGGATATATATATATATATATTTTAATGTAAAGAAATTGTAGCACATGGACGAAATAGTGAGGACAAATTTGTACTGCTCACCTTATTTCAATTTGAAGCACTTGGTGTCACTAGAAGAAGTACAGAAGATTTGAGCTGATGGATAAAACTATTAGAATCTGTCAAAAAAAAAAAAATATTTGATTTAACCAAATGAATGGTTTTGAAGAATTAGGACAATGGACAATACAATACATGCTCAAAGGAACAATAAATTACTTACCTAATTGTTGGAGTAGCGTATCCTTATGGAGAACCTTAAAGTAATTTGAAAATTTTAAGGTTTCAGATTTATATAAGGAATGAAACCAGCAAACCGAATCTTATGACATGCCTTGAGCAACAATCCGAAGAAAAGAAGATGCTACTTCGATAAAGCTACATCGGGCCAGGAATATGAAGCAAGAAGATGCTTTCTTACCGGGGAGGAATTCATTTACAATTGGATGATGGCGCGCAAAAAGTTTTAGTCCATCTCTTGGTCTAGAATAAGTGGAAGATGGAAAATACAAAGATTTATACGATTCGACACTAAGACCTACATTATAGACAAAGAGCCTAGGGTACACAGCCTACATTTCTATTATTCAGATTTGTATATTGTTTGAGTACAAGGCATGGTAAATATAATAGAATATAAAAGGTGTAAAAAAGTCAAATGAGGCAAATTGACCGGGTCACTATCATTGGTGGAAAATTTTGCTCCACGATTATATAGAAATATTTACATATTTCAACACTCCTCTCAAGTTGAAACATGAATATCATGAATGCCCAACATACCAAAGAAACGCTTCGAAAGATGATGCGAAGGTATTCGGAACAAAGCCAGGAAATTGACAAGATCTTGCTGGGAAAATGACTGGATGTTGCCAGGGAAAATAAACTGGAACTCGCCGGGAAAAATGGTCAGAACTAAGTTGGGAAAATCGGAACTCGTTGGGAAAATGCTAGGAACTAAGCGGGGAAATGACCAGAACAATGCCTGGAAATGACGGGAACTAAGCCGAGAAATGGGCCAGAAATACATCGGGGTAGGCCGAGGTGCTGAACCATCTGAAAAAGGACCGGAACTATGCCGGGATGAATCAACCGGAACTACGCCGGGAAAGGAATGTGAAGACATAAATCCATGATAATAATACACAGCTAGGTTTCTGATAACATGTTAAATTTGAATTTGCAAATATAAATGCAAATCAAGAATAAGCGGAAGATGAAAAACACAAAGATTTACATGGTTCGACACTAAGACCAACATCCATGGACAAAGAGCCTCTAAGATCTACATTTTTATTATTCAGATCTATATATTGCTTGAGTACTAAGAGCCTATATATATAGACATGGTAAATATAATAGAATGTGGAAGGTGTAAAAAAGTTAAAGGAGTCACTGTGATTGGTGGAGGATTTTAATCCACCATTATATAGAAATATCTATAATTCAAAAGAAATTGACCGAATCATCGTGATTGGTGAAGAATTTTACTCCACAATTATATCCAAATATTTATATATTTCAACAATTATTTTCTAAGAAAACAACTCCTCTTCTAATTCATATTGAGTCAACATTGAATATGATGATTATACCTTGAATTGATATGGTTGCACCGCAACGTCTCTTTTAGTTACTCTTAGCGTTCCCTATCATGCTCATTTTGGCTACATTATATATATGTGTGTGTGTGTGTGTGTGTGTATTAAGGTAGTGATATCTTAGCAGGAATGAGTAGGGCAGACAAAATGGCAATAAACAAGTGATCCATATATTCTTTGTGGCAAATAATTATTAAATAAATTGAATAGAAAATTTTGTAGAAGTAGTTTTTGCAAGACAAACATTTTCAATAGCTGAGAGGGCAAAATGGAAATACAGGAGGCAGCTTGCATTGTATATAGGCGAGTTTTTTTTTTTTTTGGTTGACACACTCTTACCATCTATTTTTGAGTAGCAGGATAAATATACTAGGTGTACAACAATTTTGGTAGAGGTGATTTTCACAATCATCTTTTCTAATTTATATTTTCATTTAAAAAAATATATATTTTATAACCTTAACTTCAAAAGATAATGATTATTCTTTTACAAATTACACCACAATCCTTCTGGATATGGTTAATCTCCCCACTTCCTTTTTAATTTTTAATTTTTTGGTCTTTGACGGAATCAAAAAATAATTATTTAATTAACTACGTACGTAACTACATACTTTACCACATGGTATGATATTGTTCGCTTTGGACCCGAGTCAATACGATTTTGCTCTTAATTTTTATCCCAAAATGTCTTATACCATTTGGAGATACCACCACCACCACATATAAAGCACTTCACATTTCCCTTACCCAGACGATATAAAATTGCGCACTTGTAACTCACCCAGTGTGGTAGTCGTGACGACCTTGTGGGTGAGTGTAAGATGCATTGATAAAGTGGGTCGTTACATATGGTATCAGAACTTAACCCAACCGAAAAGTGTGGCTAACGGGGATGTCGGGCCCCTAGGGGGTGATTGTGGTGACTTTGTGGGCGCGTGTGCCATGGGTGAAAAGTGTGGCTAACAGGGATGTCGGGCCCCGTGATTGTGGCGAGGTTTGTTATTATGGGTGCAAAAGGCACTAACAAATTATCACATTAGACGAATTACAGTGTATAATTCTACATTGCCTGAGCTGAAAAGGAGGAAGTGCTATATTAATGCATCTGATTGGGTAATTGGTGTGCGACAAATCTATCATTTTTGTAATTATCATTAATTCATCTTTTTGGGTAATTGGTGTGCGACAAATGTCATGGAGGTGGTTGATGGAGGCGGTGGTAATGGTTTTTGACAAAGTTGGGTATGGGTGGTGGGATTTTTTCTGCAGCGTGAACTTTTGGAGCTAAGACTGAAATAATAATTATCATTAATTCATCTTTTTGGGTAATTGGTGTGCGACAAATGTCATGGAGGTGGTTGATGGAGGCGGTGGTAATGGTTTTTGACAAAGTTGGGTATGGGTGGTGGGATTTTTTCTGCAGCGTGAACTTTTGGAGCTAAGACTGAAATAATGAATTGTTGTGAACATGTGATATTTGATTCCATTCCGACCATGGTGGACTCACTTATAGTGATGACTTTTTCTTAATCTATAGTGGTTGACTAGTGGATCCTACTTTCCACCAAATTTTATTTATTTATTTATTTTAAACTATTTATTTATTTCATTGGCAAGGAATTCGCATCTTCATTGATTTTAATTTGTAAGTAGATGAGATACTACTAGACTATGTAATATTTGATCACTACCCATCATAGTTGGTAAAATTCGGTACGGAAAAAAACCGATTAAAAAATGTAAGAGTATAATTTGATTTTTTTTTAAAATATGTCATAAAAATTTGACTGGAAAAAAACGAAAACATAAAAATTCGAATATTGTTACGTAGGTGTATAGTATGTATGGTTTAAAAATTCCGCTATATATACACAACTTATTTATTTATTTTCGTATAGTATTAAAATGTAAAAAATAATAAAATAAATAAGAAAATGTTAGAAATAATAAATAAAAATTCATTTTATATAAATTGACACTACCAGAATAACTATGGAAGAAATAAATTAAATATAATTAATTAATAATTCTGACATCATAAATTCATCAATCATCACAAATTAATAAAAAAAAATTATAATTCAAATAATTAACTATGAGTATCTAAAAATAAATAAAAGTTTACTTATTTCCCATCTTTTCTTGATGATGTGGACCATTTAGACCAATTAAATGCAATAGGCATAATGAGAGGTTGGTTTCATAACAACAACAAATGAACAATTGCTAAAGGCAGATGAACTGTACAAGATGCATGAAGTTAAGAAATTAACCAATGATCAATTTTTACAGTTCTTCAGTTGGCATGCCTTTGAACAAGATCGTCCCCTTGAAGTTTACATGGAGCACTCAGAAAGGGTTGTGAAGTATTGCGGAGGGCTTCTTTTAGCTCTTCAGGTTTTGGGTTCTTATCTATCTAGGAGAAGTTTAGATGCGTGGGAAAGTGCAATAAAAAAATTGGAAGTAATTTCTAATAGTCAGATCATAAAAAAGCTCAAAATTAATTTTGATTCTTTAGAAGATGACCACGACAAACAATTATTCCTTGACATTGCTTGTTTTTTTCGTCTGAAAGAACCAAGATTTTGTAATTACAATGTTAGATTGTTATATGTACCACGCAAAAGTTGGGATCGACAACCTCATTAAAAGATGTCTTTAACAGTCAATATAGGAAATGAGCTGACAATGCATAAGTTGCTTCGAGACATGGGAAGAGAAATAGTACATCAAGAATCACCAAAGAAGCCAGGGGAACGCAGCAGACTGTGGGATCATAAGGATGCCTTACATATATTGAGAGAAAAAACTGTAAGAGTTATGCCTTCGGTTTCTATTTGCATGTTTTTGTTGCATGGTGTGCTTAGTAAGTGAGTCATTTTTACAGGGAACAGAATCCATTGAGGGCCTCATGCTCAACTTGCCTGGAAGCAACTCATCGGAGCGGTGAGGTACTGGTCTAGGCTTCTTTTCTTTGCTCCATGTAACTTCTGCCTCAACAGAGTCATTTTCCACATCAGATGAAGTAGACTTCCAAACAGTTCGATGCATTTTCAAGGATGCACAATCTAAGACTACTCCAGCTCAATAATGTAAGGCTCACCGGAAACTACAAACAATTTCCTAGGAAGTTGAGATGGTTGTGTTGGCGTGGGTTCTCTATGGAAGTAATACCCATTGAATTTTTATTTAGAGTGTTTGGTTGTTCTAGATATGCAAAATAGTAACTTGAAAAAAGTTTGGAAGCACGGGAAAAAGGTATGATATTAAGTTCTCTTTTAATCTTTTTTTCTTTTCTTTGGGGACTATTAATAGCTAAATTCCTTCTTCTTTTGACAGTAGCTTAGATCATTGAAAGTCCTCAATCTCAGTCATTTCAGTAGCATTATGTTTGACTTCTCAAATGTCCCTAATCTTGAGAGCTTGATTCTTACAGATCGTATAAACTTGATTGAGTTTCACGAATCCATTTGGGAATTGGGGAGACTAGTTTTACTGGATCTTAAAGATTGCAAAAATCTTAGGAAGCTTCCATCAGGAATTGGCCAGCTAAAATCTCTTGAAAATCTCATTCTCTCTGGTTGCTCAAAGGCGCTTCCAATTGCCTAGAGAGTTGGGCAGAATGGAGTCTTTGAAATTGCTCCTTACTAACAGAACTGCTATAAATCAATCACTTTTAACGA